GGAGCCTTCTGTCGTGCACAGGGCATCCGCCAGACCTTCACGCTTCCGGCCTCTCCACAGCAAAATGGGATTGCTGAGCCCCGCATTGGCATGGTCATGGACGTCGCTCGTACGTCCAAGATCCATGCGGCTGCCCCCCATTTTCTGTGGCCGTTTGCGGTTTAGTACGCAGGGCATCAGCTCATCTTTCAGCCCCGAGTCTCCTTGCCTGAGACCTCCCCCACCATGCGGTGGACGGGGAAGGTAGGCGATGCGTCTGCGTTTCGGGTCTGGGGATCTCAGGCGTTTGTCTGCGACTTGTCTGCGGACAAGCTGTCCCGTCGTGCTATTCCCTGCGTCTTCCTTGGCTCCCCCCCTGACGCGCCTGGTTGGCAGTTTTACCACCCCACCTCGCGCCGTGTTCTGTCCTCCCATGACGTCACCTTCGACGAGTCGGTGCCTTACTACCGTCTCTTCCCCTACCGCACTGCGCCCCTCCTCCCGCCGCCGCTCTTCCTTGCGCCAGGTCCTTCCTTGGTAGATCCCCTCCCCCTTCAGGGTCCTGCCCCATCAGGTGTGTCCCAGGTAGACGCAGTCGAGCCTGTCGTGGAAGCTGTTGACTCTAGTGCTGCTAGGGGTGCTGAGCCTGGGGGTGCTGAGTCTGGGGGTGCTGAGTCTGGGGGTGCTGAGCCTGGGGGTGCTGAGCCTGGGGGTGCGGAGTCTAGGGGTGCTGAGTCTGGGGGTGCTGAGCCTGGGGGTGCTGAGCCTGGGGGTGCGGAGTCTGGCGGTGCTGGGTCTGCTCGTGTGGCCTCTCGCGATGCTTCGTCGAGGCGGGAGCTACTCTCTCCGCAGGAGCTGCGCGAGTGGTTTGCCCGGCGCTGGAGCCGTGCTACTGGAGCTGGAGGTACTACTGTTGCTGCTGGTTCCGGAGGTGCTCGTACTGGTAGTACTAGAGCTGCTGGGACTGGGGGTGCTGCTGGGGCTGCTAGAGTTGGTCCTGCTGGAGGTACTGCTGGAGCTGCTGGCGGTACTGGAGCTGCCGGTCCTGCTGGGGTTGGTGCTGCTGGAGCTGCTGGAGCTGGACCTGCTGGGGGTGTTGGCGCTGGTGGTTCTGCTGTCGCTAGTGCGTCTGAGGGTGCTGGAGTTGGCGCTGTTGGAGCTGGAGGTGCTACTGGCGCTGGTGCTGCCGCTGGGGGTACTGGTACTGTCCCTGCTGGTTCTGGAGGCGCTGCGCGGCCGCGGTCGTACTTCGTTCCGCTCCTTGAGCAAGTTCTTGGTCTCGCGGCCTCTACTGGTCCTGCTCCTCCCTTAGAGTGTCCACAGCCTGTCCAGTCGCGGTCACAGTTACAGCCCGCCTCCCCCCTACCTGCTCCTTCTCCCTACACTGATCCTATTGGAGGTCTTGCTGAGCGTCGTGAGCCTGCGTCTCGTCCTTCGTCACCTGTTTGTGCCGCTCGCACTAGTGGTCGTGCTCCGCGTCCGCGTCCTCCAGCGGTTCTAGGCACACACCAGATGGCACTGCGTCCTTCCAGTGCTCTTCTGCATGTCGCGTTGCCGTCTCCTCCAGAGTCCTCTCTTCTTGTTCTTGCTGACCCGGAGTCTGACTCTCTTCGTGCTGCCAGTCCTACTGTCACGCGTCTCCTGGCTACTGTTGTCACTGACCCTTCCTCTGAGTCCACTGCTGCGTCGGCCCTAGTTGCTGAGCTTGTCAACTTTGCTGCTCGCTGTCGTCTGGACTTCGCTACTAGTCTTGTTGCTGAGTCCGAGTCAGTCTGTCCTCCGTCCGTCGAGGGTGAGTGTGCTCTTAGCACGGACGTCCTTCAGGACAGGCAGAAGGGGTTCTAGTGTTTTGCTGCTGCTTTGCCTCATCTCGTGTCCACGCTGATTGCCCCTGAAGGAGACCCGGATGCACTTGACATCCCGACTCCTCGATCGTACGCTGAGGCGATCGAGGGTCCCTACTCCTCTCAGTGGCAGTCAGCCATGGACGCAGAGATGGCTTCCTGGAAGTCCACAGGCACCTACGTCGACGAGGTTCCCCCACCTGGGGCAAACATCATCAGTGGCATGTGGATTTTCAGGGTGAAGCGGCCGTCGGGTTCTCCACCTGTTTTCAAGGCGCGTTACGTGGCTCAAGGCTTCAGTCAGCGGCAGGGAGTTGACTACTTTCAGACCTTCTCTCCCACCCCGAAGATGACCACTCTTCGGGTGCTGCTGCACATAGCCGCTCAGCGCGACTACGAGCTTCACTCTCTTGACTTCAGCACAGCTTTCCTACAGGGCAGCCTGCACGAGGAGGTCTAGCTGCGCCGCCCACCTGGCTTCACTGGGTCGTTTCCCCCTGGTACACAGTGGAGCCTCCGACGGCCAGTCTACGGTCTCCGCCAGGCGCCCCGTGAGTGGCACGACTCACTGAGGACTACACTTGCGGCTCTTGGGTTTGCTCCTTCTACAGCCGACCCGTCGCTGTTTCTGCGCACCGACACCTCTTTGCCGCCGTTCTATATCCTCGTGTACGTCGACAACTTGGTCTTTGCCACTGCTGACACTGCTGGACTCGCCCACGAGCTGCAGAAGAGACACACGTGCACAGACCTGGGTGAACTGCGCAGCTACCTTGGCTTGCAGATCACCCGGGAATAAGCACAGCGCACCATTACCCTGACTCAGTCACACATGGTGCAGCAGGTCCTTCAGCGCTTCGACTTCACGTACTCCTCGCCTCAGGCCACTCCTCTGTCTACTCGCCACTCGCTCTCAGCTCTGCCTTCAGATGAGTCCGTAGAGCCGAGTGGCCCGTACCCAGAGCTTGTTGGCTGCCTCATGTACCTGATGACCTGCACACGACCTGACCTTGCATACCCTCTTAGCATCTTGGCACGCTATGTTGCTCCTCGGAGACACCGACCAGAGCACATGGCTGCAGCGAAGAGGGTGTTGCGCTACTTGTGCAGTACGTCGGGCATGGGGCTAGTGCTTGGAGGGCGACGTCGAGTGGTCCTCACAGGTCACGCAGATGCTTCTTGGGCTGACGACCAGGCTGCGCAGCGGTCGTCAGAGGGTTACACCTTCAGCCTTGGTTCCGGCTCTGTTTCGTGGCGGTCTACCCGCTCGTCTTCTGTTCTCGGCTCCACCTGTGAGGCTGAGATCTACGCGGGAGCCATGGCTGCAAAGGAGCTATGCTGGCTCACCTACCTGCTGACTGACCTAGGAGAGCCGCCTCGTTCTCCTCCAGTTCTGTACGTAGACAACAAGGCCATGCTGGCCTTGTGTCGGGAGCACAGACTGGAGCACAGAACGAAGCACATTGCTCTTCGCTACTTCCTTGCTCGTGAGCTGCAGCAGCGTGGTCAGCTGCGCCTTGCTTACGTGGCCTCTGAGGCCAACACTGCTGATATCTTTACCAAGGCACTTCCGCCTGGTGATCATCAGCGCTTCTGTACGATTCTAGGTCTTGTGCCTCACTTGCTCACTTCGTGACCTTGCTTGTACTGTGATCTTTCTATACCTGCACTTGCCTATTTACCTTTATATATGATCTTGCATGTGAACTGGCCTTGTGGCCTTGCTCTTGTGCTCGGATTGTGTGGTGACGTTGTGATCCACTCTGAGCTTGCTTTGCTTTGCTTGACTGGTCTTGTGACCTCTTGTTCTTCCCCACTTTGCCTATGGGGGTGTGTCAAACTCATATCATATAGCTTGTCTAGGCTATAGTGGGGTAGACAATATGAGGTACAGTTTCCTAGGGTTTCCTACTTGTACCCAACCTTGTGCGAGTTCATTCATTCCTCATTTCTTCACAATTTCATGAGTGCTCATTCTGGGAGTCGAGTGTGCCGGAGAGGTGGGGCTCGATGTTTGACCAAGCCCTTTGACCTGTTTCGCACTGGTCAAAAAGCGCGCAACTGTCAGGACCCGCGCGTTTGGTCCTGACATGCGCGCATGGGCCCTCAGGCCAACGCGTCAGGCTCGCACTGTTGCGAGTGTGCACAGGGCGCACGTTGTGGCGCTGTACAGCACGACCAGTTTGTCTTGTCGTGCATGATTGCGCACGTGAGGTGTGCGCATGAGTTTCGGAGGGGTGCCGAGAGATCCCGAGGGGTGCTCGGGATTGACTCGAAATTTCAGTTGACTAACTGAAATTCGAGTCTTGACTTTTCTGACGTGGCGAGCATGAATCTTCGCCAGAAATGTCGCGCACTTAACGCGATGATTTCGTTTCAGGTACAAAACGGTATAGTGCGTTTTACAACGGGAAAACGTGTGAAGAAAATGAGGAATGAAGAAGAAAGGGGTTTCACTAGCAAGCAGTTGAGTACATATAGGAAACCCTACGTTGGGCTATACTCACTATTGAGTACCCCACTGCAGGCTAGACAAACATAACATTCTGACACACCCCCATAGCCAAAGTGGGGTGTAATCAGCACAATGAGCAAGCAGGCATAGAGCAGGAGTTCACAATAGCGAGCAAAGCTAGAGTCATTCACAAAGGGCAAGTGAGGAGGAGGAGGCGAGACTGTAAGAGGAGAGGAGATAGGAGGCGACGGCTGAAGCTGCAGACACACGGGCAACAGGAGTCACACTGGCACAGCGGCTACCGGAACAGCGCTCCGGACTACTGGAGTAACTGGCTCCGCGGCTAAGACTAACGGCAGACGAGCAACGGACCCACGGGCGACTGGCACAGCTGGCTACGACTGGGCTACCGGAGCAGCGCCTCGGACTACTGGTGCTGCTAACGACACGACGACAACCTCCGTTCAACCAACCTCCTCCAGCTGCCCCACACCTCTCGACACACACCCCTTGCTCAAACTTTAGCTCCACTCCCATAGCACCCCCCTTACACCCTAAACCGCAGTCTCACACACATCCACCTCCCTCAAAACCCTAGCTCCACTCCCACATCACCCCCCTTAAACCCTAAACCCTAGGCTCCCACACATCCACCCCCCTCAGCGACAACTGCAGCAGTGGGAGACGAAGGAGGAGGAGGAGCAGGGGAGACCACACACCTGTCACCCCCTACTCGCCACCCCCAGACCCTAACACAGGGCAGGGCGGGACGGCGGGTAGGGAGGTTAGGGAGGAGGGGGGGGGGGGGGGGGGGGCGACGCGCGGTCTCCCAGGGCGCCAAAACAGGCGGCAGAAGGGGCGATGCTCGCCCCCCTCCCCCAGGTCGCCCCTCCCATTGCCTGTCGAGGCGACCTGAAAGGGGCGGCAACGGGCAACGGGAAAAGGGGGGGGGGGGGGGGGGCGGGGCGGTGCACGTGCCCCCGGTGCACCGTGGCTGGCGACGGGGCATGGCCGGGGCGGGGCCGGGGCAGGGTCGAGGAGGGGCCGAAAGGGGCGGCGACGGGGCCGCAAGTGGCGGCGACGGGGCCGCTGGAGGCGGCGACGGGGCCGATAGGGGCCGCGACGGGGCCGCTAGGGTCGGCGAGGGGGCCGCAGGCGGCGACGGGGCCGCTAGGGTCGGCGACGGGGCCGCTGGCGGCGGCAGGGCCGCTAGGGTCGGCGACGGGGCCGCTCGCGGCGGCGACAGGGCCGATAGGGGCGGCGACGGGGCCGTTAGGGGCAGCGACGGGGCCGCTGGCGGCGGCGACGGGGCCGATAGGGGCGGCGACGAGGCCGCGAAGGGGCCGCGAGGGGCCTGAGAGGTCGGCGACGGGGCCGCAGGCGGCGGCGACGGGGCCGATAGGGGCGGCGACGGGGCCGCGAAGGGGCCGCGAGGGGCCTGGAAGGGAGGCGACGGGCCGCGAAGGGGCCGCGAGGGGCCTGAAAGGGGCGGCAACGGGGCCGCGAAGGGGCCTCTGGTGGCGACGGGGCCGCTAGGGTCGGCGACAGGGCTGCTGGCGGCGGCGACGGGGCCGATAGGGGCGGCGACGGGGCCGATAGGGGCAGCGACGGGGCCGCGAAGGGGCCGCAAGGGGCCTGGAAGGGCGGCGACGGGCCGTGAAGGGGCCGCGTGGGACCTGAAAGGGGCGGCAACAGGGCCGCGAAGGGGCTGCGAGGGGCCGAGAAGGGCGGCGACGGGGCCGCGGGGGGTGGCGACGGGGCCACTAAGGGTCGCGCGAGGGGCATGCGACGGGGCGTGTAGTACACAGAGTAGCAGCGGAAGCAGTTAGGTGGGCCCACAGGCCAGGAGCGTAGTCGCTCTGATACCATGTGAAGAAAATGAGGAATGAAGAAGAGAGGGGGTTCACTAGCAAGCAGTTGAGTACATATAGGAAACCCTAAGTTGGGCTGTACACACTATTGAGTACCCCACTGCAGGCTAGACAAACACAACATTCTGACAAAACGGTGATTCACATGAGCGTTCATGATTTTACGTGTGCGTTCGCAAGTGGAGGCAGCAGAGGCGTTTGGGGGACATGGAATTTGAAGACGGTTTTCCTACAGAGACGGATCAAGCCAAATACAGGAGATGTTGACCAATCGTTTTCATTGCTTACTCGGCGAAGTCTTAGAAATGCAGTTTACCAACTGTTTCCCACTCCACTTTGCATGTGCGTTAGGCGGAATATAAAATGTGTGCTTGTGTTTCATTGTAATCAATCCTTTGAGTGAATATTTTGCTCTATCATCGTATTGACGTGAAGAGCTACTTCTGCATACGAGCCTATTTGTCGTCCAAACGCTGCGCAACTGAGCTTGGGAGCGTTCTATTGCACACGACCGAATTTACACTTAGTGCGTCCCTCGACAAACACGGAGCCTTGGTTAGGGGCTGGCTTTGCCAGGCACCCGAGGACCCTTGGAGGTGACCCCGTGGGGACTAACTAAGTGGTAATTGAAGGTGTGCTTAGAGCTTCTAGATCCAAATAGTAGTCAACAGATATAACCCCAAAAGGTAATAAGAAATCCAAGTCTTGGAAATGTTTTAACTTGGGCGGTCTTGGTCGGAAAAAGGCGATCTTGGTATCGTTGGAACGCTCTGGATTTCTCTGCATGATCAAGCATTTAAACTTGGAGAAAAACACAGAGATGATAACATCCAACAGCCATGCACAATGACATATGCTCATGGAAACAATGCACACATGAATAGCACGAGCACTCGGCAGGACGTTATGATGACATGCACTCAGAATGACGTGCATCCAACAACGTGCCCTTACCCTTCTTCAAACCGCTGTAGAGTAGTACAAGGAGGGTCATGGTGGACCACCACGTGTCTGTGTGGACCTTCCTATACTGCAGTTACAGTTGTGGATTTATATATTGTATAGTGAAATTCATCCAATAAAAGAAAATAAGTGTAAACTGTTAAGAAAAAATAAAATATTTCAAACAAAAACCATGAAATATTTTCTACCTTTTCTTTTGTTGATGCAAATATTAAAAGCAAACAAAGACATCCTCCGTTGTTACTGGCTTTTTAAAAGGCATACTGTCTACGTGTAGAGGCAGACCCTTCCTCGTACGCTTTATGGTGGCTGAAAGGAGACCGTCGGGTCCTTCAGAAAGACTTGAAATCTGCTCTATATGCCAGCAAGGCCTCCGTGCTGTAGAACCTACGCAACACTTATGCCTCATCTCTTGCCATGTGTCCCCAGTCCATTGAGCTGCCATTTTCTTTCCTCCCTGTAGATCTTTACGTATGTCGGCTTTTTCAGTCCCTTTTTCCGGCTGAAATTTTGCCCCCCTTAACATAACACTACACCTTGCCAGCCATAGCTGAGGGGCCAACGTGGCAATAGTTGATGTCCCTGGAAAACCTGACCGCATGTGTGTTGCCTGAAACAGTAGATCCCCGACCGATTCCACCTTCCTGCCCAAGTTCATCAGTTGGAGCACTCTCTGGACTGCCATGACCACCATTTGTACTTTCTACCAACTCAAAAGGCAGTGGTTCAGTGACTCTACCTTGCCGCAGTGGGAGCAGCATGCTCTTGCCCCAAGGAATTGTAGTCTCACTTCCACTTGCAGGTTGGTACTATGTGCACGCATGATGGATTCTTTTCCTCTGACCTGTATCGCTAGTGAGTCGCTTGTAGTGATCACCCTCCTCCACTTAATGTTCTTTCCCCACGTTTCCTCCCACTGCAGTTGCTACTTTGGTTGCATGAGTTGGGGTTTTGTTGCCTTTCGTGGGTCTCTTTGCTCGGCTGGCTCGCCCTTCGTGCATACCGATGACTGCAGTAGCAACACTTTTGATGACTGCAACACTTTCCTTTCTGTCTTCCTCATCCACCTTCACCCCCACCACCTCCACCTTCACCACCCTTCCCCACTTCCTTATGTTGAGTGATGCTACCATTCGCATTCACGTCTGTCTGCCTCCCATCATATGTTCATGCGTTGCATGCGTGGTGTGAGCGTGTGCAAGAATTTGTGTTTCATGTGGTTTGGATTTTCTGAGTGTGTGTGAATGCTATTTGGATTGAGCAGGTATCTGAAGTGACTCATCTACTCAATTGCTTTCCGACGAGCCAAGGATCGCTTCAATCGGAGCACGAACAAGAAAGCTACAAACGTTCAAAGTTCGTATGCTTTTGATATCTGGTTGTGGTGACTATGGGAAGTTGTGGGGTTGACTCCATATGGGGTACAGACTTTTGAGGGTTGGGAAATTCGTACCCATCACTGTAGATGCTGCCAAGTGGTTGGGTGAAGCCAAACCAGGTTAGCAAATGTGGCCAAGTTGGGTGAGGTGGATTTGGGAGGTTGGGAAAATGACAAGGGTGAAAGTTGGGTTGCCTATTGAGAGGGAAATTGTGTGGCATGGGGGTTTTCTTGGTTGGGGATCCCTTGGGACCTTCCCTCTCATCCTCCTCATCTCCTCCTACCTGGTTTATAGCAACTCTAACTCTCTTGTGTGGTCAATTGTGTAAATTGTGAGACAATTGTGATTGAGGTAAGATTTTATGGCAGCTTACCCCCTAGTGCGCCGAAATCCATAACTCAAGAAATACTTCATCTTATTGTACGATTCAAATTGGAAAGCCACAGACTAGGGCTACAACATATCTGAGTTTGGTGAAGTTTTGACTGTGAAAGTTTTGTCGACGGCGTTTCTTGTGAACTCGACTTTTCTGTCCAGAAACTAGGCCCAACGATTTTGAGATATTTTGGCTCCTAATCTTCATAGACTCCGTCCTTAGTCTCTAACACCTTACCTCCCTTGCTCCGTTTCTACAAACCACTGGCAGAAATATTTGCAGTCTCCTTGAAAGCAGGCGGCTTAGCAGCAGCAAGGGAGGTAGTGAAGGTGGGAAGATGGGGAAGAGCGCACCCTTGAAAGAGTCGAGCAACTCCTCAGAAGTAGCAGAGGCGATAGCGCAGAGGTTACTCTTGATTTGATTGAGGGTGGTCTCTATGAGTTCAATACCAAGCTCGGTGGGATGTTGCGTGTCACGTGCAGATGTGAGGCGATCAGGGAAACGGGTGGCGATAAAGTAGAGGGTGGCAAACATAGGCAGGCGGTGGCTAGCAAGTTGGGCGCCGGAGCAAGCAGCGTGGTACCTAGCGTTGAGTAGGGATGAAGAATGGCATGAGGAGGCATCCTAGGGTGCTAGAAACGATAGTGTTAAAGCCGCGGTGCAACTTTCTAGGGAACAGTGCGTAACAGTAAACGGGAGTTGCGAGAGTTGCAATCGGCGAGGTTTGAGAAAGATTGCACAAGTGAGAGAAGGGAAGAAATTGTTGCGAAGGCATTGCAAAGGGGTAAGCACAACGGTCTCGTGCATGCCAAAACACACAAATCACACAGGATGGGAAGGGACTGGAACAAAATACAAGGGATAAAATATGGAGTGGCAGCCAATCAGTCTTCCGCCTTATTCATCTCACTTCGAAGCGTAATTTGGCAATACCTAGTTCATGCTCGAGCCCATAACTTTGCAATGAGATTCACTGCACTAAGAGGGGAGAGAGATGTGGGGAGGGACGGGAGAGAGGGAAAAGGGGAGGGGCGGGAGAAGCAGAAAAGGAGAGACGGGAAATGGAACATGGAGAGACGTGGCCCACAAGGTAGTGACGTTCGAACCATTGGTCGGGATTTGCAGCTCCCAAACCGCACACTATGCGACATTTTTTGGCATGCCCACAAAGGTGCTCGCTTGGACCCAGCACCCTGTGTCAGACAGGGTTATTCGCCATCGCAAGGCACCATGAACGATCGTTGGTCGTTGTTGTTGATCGGAGTTGGCCCCGCCCTCACTTGGGTGGCGCCGATTTTGTAGTCGGGTGCGCGGGAGGTGCAGCCGGCTGCCTGCAGAGGTCGCCGCGAACTTGGGTGGGGACCACCGCAAAGCTGGCAGCGAGGGAGGTTGGGGCTGACTTCCTCTGGTGCGGTTTGTCAACCTTTGGTGAAGCCGGTGGGTGACTTTAACCTAGGTGGTCGACGAGGATGTACATCAACCTGCAGGCTCCGACCACGTCAGGCCAGCGCCTACTTCGGGGTTTCCCAATCGACCAAGTAACTTGGGTGACGAGGTTTTGCGGAGGTGCGAGGACGTCGCCCAGGAGTTTTGGCGAAGCCGACCTCGGGCTGGTATCCCGAGGTCGACGTGGCTCTTCTGTTGAATGCACGTCAGTTTGAGTGCATGTCAGCCTAACGACCTGCCGAGTGCTCGTGCTATTCATGCTTGCATAATTTGCATGAGCATATGCCATTATGCATGGCTGTTGGATATTACTTTCCTTGTGATTTTGTTATCTAGGAGAAATCCTAAGCTTTCTAGCGATACCAGTGTCGACTTATTTCGACCAAGATCGCCCAGGTAACAATGAGTCGAAGACATAAACTTCTTATCTCATTTGGGATATGAGATAAATTGGGTGATTATTGGGACGTGACTAAATCTATGATTGGGTGGTTACGAAGTCAACTTTGACTTTTGGATTGGGATGGCTAGAAGTTTTTAGCATTCGGTTGCAAATGTTACAACGCCTAGTCAAAATCCAACTAGATTGGATTTTGCATTTGACACCTCAAGGAACTAATAATGAGAGTTCCATACTTGCTGCTAGGAAGGTTCCTACCATCCTTCCCTAGCTCTTAAAGAATCCCTTCTCTCTCATGGTTCTCTTGGAGTCCCCAACTCCAACTCTCTATGCTCAATACTACTACTCCCTCCACCATACTAGTCATGCAGCTGCTGGACGTTTTTAACATTTTCTCACTCTAGAGAAGATCTTAACAACTGGTTCAATCTGAAGGTGGTAGATAATGCTATGGCACATAATCCAACTGTTGGTGCAACCCTGCGGTTTGCACTCGGCTTGTTGTCCGTGTGCGTGTGCGTGCATGCATGTGTGCATGGAGTGGTATAAGAGCATAAAATAAATATGTATTTCATGCTTATAATGGTGTGTGAATGATGGGTCATGATGTCGAGTGTGTGTGTCAAGTCAATAGCGAATTATCGCTAGTCGCGTGTAACGTGGTCATTTTGTGTGTCCCGCGAGGTTTCTACTTTGTCATGTGCGGCTTCTATTTTGTCGCTTGTCGAACGTTCAGCGTGTCGCAGGTGTGTGCAGCAGACCCATCAAGAACTCAAGGATGAGTTTGTGATGAAGAACCCGAGCCCTGGTGTCAACATTCAAGTGATCGCGAAGCTCGCCAAAAGGGTACACCTCAAGAAATTGAAGATAGTTACATTACTTTGTGTAGTGTAACATTTCACTTGGTGTTGGCCCTAGTGAAGGGTAGTTTCGAGACCCTTCGTGGTTGGGGATAGTGTGGCACTGTTCCACATCACTGTACCTTGTCTCTTAGGGTTTGTAGGAGCTGGGAGTCATTCCCAACTCGTAACTCTTCCTAACTCTTCCTATTGTGTGTTCTAAGACTATGTTGCTGCCATAGTGCCGTTCGTTCAAACCGACGCTGTGTCGTCAATTCTTGATGAAATCGTGCGACCTAAATTGACTATGTAGGCAACAATAAGGCGCTCCAGATCCAAGTCGAATGAAGTCATTTGAAGTTGTCAGCAGATCGCTATGAACG